ATCACCGGAGTGAAGCCGGAAATCGACCTGCCGATGGGGATCACGGTGCCGGATCAAAGCTGTGGTGAGGAGATAGGAGGAAACCCACGAATCGGTGGCTCTGGTACCAAATTTGTTAGCAGCAGAGGAAGGGGATCGGAGGAATCAGAGAAGGTAGGGAAGAGCAGAGCAGGGGCTGGGCAGGAAGATGAGTTCTTAGTACTCAGAAAGGTTCATTACATCCATGTTCATATCCCTCTCTCAAGCCAAGGTTTCTCTCTTATGCTCGACGCACGCACATACGCAAGACACTCGCGGTGCGGTAGGCAGATGCTTCACGGGTTCACCCAATCTGGGTCGTAGACGTGGGGGTTCCTGGCTCTGGGTCTCAGGTGCTTCTCTTCGGCTGGGCTGTCGAGGTCTTCTGTTGTCAGACGGCCAGCAGTGGAGGTCTTCGGGTCCGGTATGCCTGTAGGAGCGGTAACAACTCCTTTGCAGTGTAGCATCACAAAGAAATTTCAGTTTGGGCTAGCTATAAAAATTGCCCTGAGGTGATCTCCAAACTCAAAACAAACTAGAGTTGCAGGAACATTTAGGAAATTTCTGGTAAATCTGAACTGATGCAAACATGAGTTTGGAATCAGGGGGGAAAAGAGTTAACAAGCTCTTGACAAGTGGCTACAGGGATCGCTTCTGATTCCAAATTCAAAACAACCAATCTTGCATGGAGGTTAATGGCTAGTATGTTTGGTTGTCTATGCCATTATGCTAGTGTGTCACTCGGAGGAGGTTCTTCTGCAGGTTTGCATAGTTCTCAAAGTAGTCCTAATGCAGCATTAGCTAGTACGGGTCAGATTTGGTTGTATATATAATCAAGAGTTAAATGCATGAGAGACCCTTAAACTTGTCACGGGGTGTCACTTAGATCCATGAACTTGAAAAATGCATTTTTTTATACCTAAACTTGTTAAATGATACACCGCAGGTCCATACATGCCACGCAGACATTTTATATGACGTGGCGTTGCCATGTGGCGGAAAATATGCAGGGAACCCCCTGAAACCCCATCCCCTCAACATGCAGTCCTGCACCCTTGCTCTGCCCGTCCTCTCTCCTTGCCGGTGTCCGTCGCGGAGTCACAGGGCGGCTGCGCGCCATCAACGGCCGGTGGTGGGGAAGCTGACTTACGTGTGGCGATAGATGAGGGAGTAGAGGGTGGCGTAGGCGAGCGTGTGCGTGTCGTAGGCGCACGCGCGGTGTCACGGTGTCACGGTGTGCGCGGCGGCAGGGATGGCCACGGCGAGCGCAGCATGCGACATGGACCGGGTGTACGAGCCCCTCCGTGCGGGGACACGGCCGCAGCCACACGCGGAGTTGGGCAGATCCGGCGCGGTGGTGGTGGCATGCGGCGGCTACTGGCCTCATCTATTTCTTCTTCCTCCGTCTCCCCGTGGTGGTGGCCTGCGCGCCTCATCGACTCCGCCTCCCCACCGGAGCACGCCGCCGCCATCAAACCATCACGTCGTGGCCGCCTCCGCGTGGGGCCGCGAGCCACTCCCGGCCGCACGGCGAGCACCCACGGGCGCGGATGGCAGGCCGCCGCCGCCGCCTTGGCCCGCGCCCTGTCTCTTCGTGTGTGTGCGCCGCCGCCGTGTGGCCCTGCACGTAGGGAAGACTGCCACCGGTGAGGACCAGCCGCCCCCCACCGTCGGTCTGCTGTTCTCGGGGGGCTCGTCGGTCTGCTGTTCACGGTGTGCTCAGCTCCGATCTGAAATGTCCGACACAGCATGAGCTGGTCGTCTCCTCCTCCGATTGGAGCTGGATCCGGCCTGATAGAGATGCCGTCTCGGAACAACACTGTACATGTTGGCTACAGCCCAACTACAAGTCCACCGTGCGCGGCCGGTCTTGTTTGTGGCTCACTGGCGACGACGACGAGGATCAAATTCAGACATCAGATCGAACGAGCTGAAAGCCTAAAAGAGACCAAGGGTTTCAGACTTTAGAGGACGGAGTTGCTTGTTGTTTCATGGTACAAGCGACAGATGGGAATGGGATTCCGGTGGCGATGGCGCATGCTCACCGCGCTCGCCCTGAACCCTCCGCGAGCTCGCCGCGCCACTCTCTGCGCTGGCTGTGCACGCTCGCAGTCACAACACGCCAGGCCCGCGAACACTGCAGGCCGGTTCATCTACAACGTCCTGCCGTTGGCCACAAGGAGTAACGTCCTGTGTTAAGACTTCCAAGTTGTCAGAATCTAGAGCCTCCTTTGCAGATGTAAGCACCAGCTTGGGCCATTTGCTTTTGTTCATTAAATATGCCCCATCTAACCCATGCAGATGTAAGCACCAGCTTGGGCCATCTTCGCCGTGCTCTGGGAACATGGCGAGCTCGTTCGCCCGCGCCGGTGCCATTGCCGTCGTTGGGAGCTCCGTGTACCAGAACGGGCCGTGGAACGGGCTGCATTTCAGCGGCGAGCCGGAGATAGAGCCCAACAACAGCAACTTCCAGTTCGAGTTCGTCGCCGTCGCCAACGCAGTTCCAGTTCAAGTTCGTCACCAACAGCAACGAATGGGCTGCAGTTCGTCGGCAACGGCGGCGGCAGCGTGTCACGATTTGTGCTGAACCAGTCGAGCACACTGTAGCGCCTTCGGCGTCTGCAACACCAGCAGCGGCTCGCCGGCGTGCGCCTGCATGCTTGGGTTCAATTCACGCCAGCGTCGCCGCGGGACTGGGGGCTCAGGGACAGCGTCACCGGGTGCATGTGCGTGACGCGGCTCAACTGCACTGGGAACGACTTCCTGAGGCTGCGCGGCGTGAAGTTGCCGGACACGACGAACGCGACGGAGGACGCGGCCATCACCGTCGACAAACGCCGCCGTCGTTCCACTGCTCCGATCGCCGCGTGCCCTAGGACCACGTTGTTCGTGCTGCTCCAGTGCGCTTGTTTGGCGGAGGGCTGCCGACGATCATGCTGAAATTCTGACCCATGGGTCTTATGGATTGGATTGGGTTTTGGGTGGCTGGATTGGGTGGATCACATAATCCATGCACAGGCCTAGAGTGAGGGGTTAGATGAAAAAAAACCATGCCAGGTTGGCATGCCACCTAAGCAATAAAAGCGCTGACAAAGCATTATGGACCTACGGTGTGCCATTTAACAAGTTAGGTGACCTATAAATGCATTTTTCTAGTTCATAGACTTAAGTGGTACACCATGACAAGTTCATGAACCTCTGATGCATTTAACTCTATAATCAATAATGCAATTAAGTTTGGTACGTCCATTCCACGCCCCTTCGTATTCGTCCCTACGAGCTGCGATCGTGCCCAATTCAACCATCAGGACGGCGGAAGCGGCTATATATTAGCGGCGAGAGGCACTACATACAGCAGCACACTCAACTAGACTACGTCTCCAATTCTCGAGTCAATAATCAGCCTGCTTGTACGTACGTCTTTCCCTCTTTCTAACACTATAAGCAAATAAGCCCCAAATAGAGCTAAGAGCAGGAGCGATCAGCCATTAAATTAGGCATGCAAAACTGATTTAATTAGGTTCTAGACTTAGAGTGTGTTCTATTTCATTTCAATTGTATGTATAGGCTTTTTTATGTAACATTGGGGTTATTGGGATAGTAAATTAAAATATTGTATAATTCTCTTGCAGATTTGTGAACCATAAAAAAGAGTGGAGATAGTCTTTTGGGTGATTATCTAGTCGCTTTTTTGAACGAGATATTTTCTTATGATTAAAGGAAGATGAGATAATCAACACTTTCATGGTTATTAGAAGACACAACAAGCCTGACAGGAGGAAGTAGTGACGTACTATTTTTCAGCTATTATAGGTATAATCTATAATCTATTTTAAGCAAGCTAGACTCGTTTATTTAATTTTATGATGTTGTCCTTTTGAACTTAATCATATTATGATTCAAAATTCATATACTTGTATATCGTTATATTACATTCATAGCAGTTAAAAAAAATTAAAGCAATAGATAGCCCTAGCTACAAATCCTGACTACACCACTGGCCTAATGCAGGCTAAAATCAATGCAAACAGTGAATCCCACCCTATATGTTCATGAGCTTAGCCCAACAATCTAGAAAAGAAGAAAAACAAGAGCGACAGATATACGCCATGTTCGTTTGGCTTATAAGCCGTACTTTTTCAGCCAACGAACAGTATTTTTCTCTCACACTAAATCAGCCAAACGAACAGGGCAAATATTATTACAGGTTCCCTAAAAGTAAAATAGAGTAGCTAAACAAACTAGAAACAAGGGCAGCAAACAGTTTAGTCCATATTGGCGCCCACTCGAGTACTCGACCAATTAGGATTACGTCCAATTAGGATTACGTGTTGTATGGTTAGTGTTGAGGTCATGTCCTGTGCTTCCTAGATAAACATCTTGGACGTAGCCGTCCTTTATGATGTGAACCGACACGTGTATACCATATCAAACCAAATCACAGTCGTGTAGAGCAAAAAGGTATAACGGTTTTCATGATGCGTGCCATCCTTTTTTTTTCAAAGTTTGAGCAAGCCATGATTCCAAATGACAGGGTGAATACTTGAATAGTGACTCCAACTTATAACAAAGGAAATATATACAGCTTGAGTTAACCGAACAGCACAACAGAACATGGAAAACATAAAAAAAAAGTTTGTGTTTTCACTGCCCATAATAGAAATTGCAAATATTGCCTTCCCAACAAGGTAGCTAAAGATTCGAACTACATCTGATACTCCCCCCAAAACCATTTCACATACTTCTATAGATGTAGAAACTGAGCTGTTCCCTGAACAAGTTGAGCTACAGCACATTTCATAAAACCTGGGCACGCATGAGTTGAGCATTTGAACAAATTACACAATAATATCAGACACACGCCTAAGAATCGAAGAAATGAACCGCCTTATGCGTACAGTATCTTTAATATGTCATTGGCTCGACAAAACTAGAGAACCGAAGTACAGTGGTAGAGAGCACAGATTAACCTCCGTAAAACCTTAAACTTGGGCGGTGCCTTGCGTGAACTTGGGATCCTCACATCTGTACGTTCCATCAGGGCCAATACCAAAGCCTTTGGGGTCAGCAAACACGTTTTCCAACAGCTGGCTCCGTGGTGGATGCGGGCTTGCGTCAGCAAACTCAACAGCCTCCTCAACAACATCATCGATCTTCTTTTCAATGCTCTTCAGCTCAGATTCGGTCGCAAGGTTCTGCTCGATGATGTACTTCTTCAAGGCCGTAATAGGATCCCTTGCAGCATAGTGGGTTTTCTCATCTGTGCAAAGAGTCATTTTGTGGTGGGAGTCATCAGTTTAATAAATGTTCCAGCCAGACTATCAAAGACATAAGAAACCCACGCAAGCTTGAACACCCGAGCCAAAAATAGAAGTGAGGTGCTCAAACATGTATGATGAAGAAATGAAGAGAACGCATGCATATATACATATGAGTAGTGATGTGACCTGTGACAGTCATGAAACAAGGTGCAAATGTGCTGAACGGCTCAGTTGTCAAATTACATACGTGAATAATGAAGGTATGGTCAAGTCGTTATATAAAACAAGATAGTTCGCTGGTTGACATTTCAATCCAAACTGATTAAAGCATCAAAAACACAAGTGAAGGAATTATAACAGCCACTGATCTTATAAATTTTATTAATGTTCATTTAGTTTTGGGATAAAATGCATAGCCAAGGAATCAACTTGCGAAACCACTCGCTTATGAAGCTGTATTTCATTAGCGAAAAAAGAGCAAATGCAACATCACATATAGCCATGAACGTTCAAGTGAAATTTCAGAAATAGGAAAAGAAAATCCAGGGCAAGTGGTCCTAGACACCTATGAGGTGGGCAGGTGGCTAAAAGACATCCTAAAGATTCTTATCAGGATGTTGACATTTCAGATAAGATGACTGCGATGACGATAAGAAGAGCTGAAATCTGAGAAAAATGTTTCTTTCAGTAGTTCAATGGGCACCACAGAATCTGCAAACAAGCTTGCTCTGACCAACCAGATTTCATCAAATAATATTATCTTACTAGTCAAGTATCATGTGTGTCCGCATTGGCAATCCTGCATGTGTAGACTATGGTGCAAGCAAAAAAAAAAGGGCGTCTTAACTATTCCAATACACACACAGCAGCAGCAGGAACATACTAGATTTCCAAACATTTTTTTTGCATGCACTATTAACATGATAGCCGCTTCTAAACTTTCAGACAGAGTCAGGTACTGCTTTTAATGTTCTAAAATATTACATGGTTTGCAGGGAATATTAATCTTCCATGTGCTTAAATAACAGTAACATTAATATAGTGTATATTACTTGAACTCAGATCAAGATGAGATTGTTTATATGAAACCACTACAAGCGTAAAAAGAATCAATGCCACTTTACATTTCTCCAGTCAGTTAGCCTGGTTCATACCATGAACATCATTCCTTATGAAGCAAAACTGAAATAAAATGAAACAGGAAAGTAATCCTTACCAGGCTTCCTGAGCTCATCTGGGTCTGCGAGGGAGTGACCTCGGAACCTGTAGGTTTCACACTCAACTAGGGTTGGTCCTTCACCTCTCCTTGCCCTCTCAATTGCTTCCTTAGCAACCTCCCTGACCTTCAGGACATCCATACCATCAACATGGACCCCAGGCATTCCAAATGATGGCCCCTTCTTCCAAATCTCTGGGTCCGAAGTAGCCCTAAGGTGTGACATTCCAATTGCCCACAGGTTGTTCTCCACAACAAACACAATAGGAAGCTTCCAAAGCTGTGCCATGTTCAGGCACTCAAAGAACTGGCCATTGTTACAGGTACCATCTCCAAAGAACGCCATTGTGACATCAAGCCCATCAGGGCTGGACTCCTTGAGCACCTCATGACGGTACTTAGCAGCAAAGGCTGCACCAGTGGCAACAGGGATGCCCTCTCCGATGAAGGCAAAGCCTCCAAGGAGGTTATGGGGAGCAGAGAACATGTGCATGGAACCACCCTGTCCACGGCAGCAGCCTGTGGCCTTGCCAAAGAGCTCAGCCATGACAGAACGTGCCGGGACACCCTTGGACAGCGCATGGACATGATCACGGTATGTGCTAACAACACAGTCAGCTTGGTTCAGAAGCTTGATGAAGCCGGTGGAGACAGCCTCCTGGCCGTTGTAAAGGTGGACGAAACCAAACATCTTGCCACGGTAGTACATTTGTGCGCACATGTCCTCAAATACACGGCCAAGAACCATGTCCTCATACAGCTCCAGTGCCTCTTCCCGTGTAACAGCCTGGAGAAAATGACAGACCCTGAATTAAGACACAGCACAGTGTTCCGCAACTCGAACAAACTTGCAGTACCCGAAAGCCAAATATGACACATTTTCCATGTCTAAGCACCACTAGTTGCAAGGTAAGCTAGATGACAGTAAAATAGTATCAGTCCAGTTCTGAATCTCAAGACGCAGTTGCCTCAGACTTGCAGCTGGAGGCATGAACAGAGCTAAATGGTGGATCTATTCAAAATATGTTGCGAAAACTTCAGTTTCAGTTGTCAATCAGAGACTTTATATTAACTAAACAATTGTTTCAATTGATAGGATGGAATAGTATCCGATCATATATGAGCAGTATCTGAGAGCGAGAGGACAACTTTAGCAGTAGTTTTAGAGTACAGGAGAGTCCTCACCATGAGATTCAGGAGGCCAGGATATCGTTTCTAAGCACTACGATTTCAAAGCTGGGAGGTAAAGTTTTGTGGGATTTACACTTGTGCATCCCGAATTGCGACTACGAAGTACTACTGTAGGATGCAATCAGTCCAATCGTTTGTTAGACTTCAACCATATCACGCATCAGAATTTCACACTCACGTGGCTGGCCCGAGATCCAATCACGCAGCACAGTTAAAAAACTGTGAAGAGCGCCCAAGATCGGGTTTTCACACTCCGTCAGCACCCAAGATCCCTTTTTTTTCCTAAAGTAATAGCAGAGAGCGGAACTCCTTACCGGATGCGTGGCGGCGGCCTGCGCGGCCTTGTTCCCCGCGAGCAGGTCGGAGGAGACGGCGAACGCGGTGCGCAGGCGCGGGTGGTGCGCCCCGCCGCGGCGCAGGGTCCTGGCGAAGGAGGAGGACGAGGCGCCGGCGGGGAGCGGGGGCGCCCTCTCGCCGCCGGATCTCGCGGCCACCGGCGCCAGGAACTTGGCGGCGGTGAAGGACGCGGCCGCCATCTCTCTCTGCCCTTTCCGCTGTCTCCTGGCCGGACGGTTCGGGGGGCAATGCAGTGAACGAACGAACAGAGAGATGGGGAGGCCCCGCCGCGGTGGCGTATAAAGAGAGGAGGGGATGGAGATGGGTGGGCGGCGGAGAGACCGAGGAAGAAGAGGGGGAGGGGGTTAGGGAAACAAGGCAGGCAATCTGGTCCTCGGTGGACGATGGCGCGCACGCTCGGCTTTGGAGGGTCCGCCCAGCTCACACGCCGCGCTGCTGCACCCCCTCCTCGCTTGTCGCAACTTGGCTTCTGTGTAGCGCAGTGTGGGCGTTCGGTTAACCAAAATCGGTTCGGTTATTCGCTTCTTCAGCTAATTCGGTTACTAGAAGGGGTGGAACCGAAGAATTTCGGTTTCGGGTAATTCGGTTCATTTTCGGTTCTAACCAATAGAACCGAATTTTTCAGGAACAAGAAACAACCCATTTAATTATAAATTTCGGCAGCATTTTGCTTAATTTTCATGCAATCAAAAGGGACAATTTAAACAGCAATGCAGCATAAAACAACAGTACAACACATATATGTTTTGTTCTCTCAAATATTCAAGCATAGAGCAATATTCAAGCCTGTATTCTAGGGGCCTTTACATAGTTCGGTTATTTCATGTCAATTCGGATGAGTCTTTGGAACCAATTAAGTAATAATTTGGTTTGGGAACACAGGCCCGAACACAGACCGAATATTTCGATTTGATTACCGGTTTTGGTTCCGGTTAGTTTAGTTCGATTCGTTCGGTTCTCTCGTTTTTTTGCCTAGATTGAGTAAGCGCGACTCCATCTGAACATGGGGTCGGAGTTGTTAAATGCCGCCCGAGAACCAAGCCGGGGATGCATAATTGGCTCTATTTTTTTTTATGTGGCATAATTGACTACTTGTTCCAATGGGAACGAACTAGGAATTTTGTTGTGCATTTGTACAAACTAGGACGAATTCTTGTTGCATTGCGTCCGGGGTGTGCCACATTTTCAGATTATTTGTAGGGTTGGAATCACCAAACAACACACAAGCCATTGAAGCCTAAGTTGTTGTTAAATGTTGTGTTATTTTTTCACAACCTTGTTGAAACACATTATTTATTAAGAAGGGAGCAAACACGGTACACAAAAAGTAAATAATTGACACACAACTTATCACGGCTAAGTTTTCACTCACCTTTCACTGCTCGATTGATCCATTGGTACATGTTCTTTGCTTGCCCTTCGCTACCGCACGGTCCATCAGGGCTTACGCGTAGCCCTTCATTGTTTTACTGTTGAAAGCCACCTTACACTCCAACATCTTCAATATCTTCACTTTGTCATTTAATTAAAAAAATAAAATTTCATTCCACATTATATTATTGTTGATCATCAATTCAAAGTTAATCGACGAATAACATCACCTCCAATTTATTCACATCATCAGTTTTCACCACAAACTCCCAATTTTTGAACATCTTCTTTACTGTGTCTTGATTGTCATCAGCCTAATGGTCTTCATGAATTGTCATAGTCCTTTAAGCATATATGTTGATTATGTCCACCAACATTATACATATTTCCATGTGTCCATTAATATAATCTCTTGTCAAGTGTCTTCATTTTCAACAAATGAGCATGCATTAAATATGATCTCTTATATCTCCTCTTTATACTGTGTATATTGATTCTCAATCCTTGAACTATCAAGTGTATCAATCATCTTTGCTTGTGCTAGAGTTTGTCTTAATTATTGCTAGAATCATAAATCATTATTCTCCCCTTCTTCCTTTTACTTTGTTGGTCCTCAACATTTCGGCTATCGACCTTCAATCTTGCGACTAGAACTCAACCTATAATCACACCGACTCATGAAGATAGCTAGTTCTACCGAATGTTTGTCGTTAATAACCTTAAATAGGATCATAGATCTTTTGCTCACCCCTTATAAAGGGCAACTTTAGGGGCATAGGATCTTTCACCACTTAGTACCCCTAGGCTTTCCTTATAAGGACAAAGATAATGAAGATATATGGTTCCTTACAAAAGATATAAGGGAATGTCCAAATAAGAAAGCCAAGAACACAAAAAATGTTGATCTAAAGATATATGCATGGGTGAACTGAGCGCAGCTCAGTTGGTTGGGTTTCTTGTGGTGGAACCTAGCCACCCGGGTTCAAGTCCCCGACTTGACATGAGTGCGCGCTTGTGGTGACTTCGTCAATCTCGAGATTGGCCGGTCCAACTCAGTTCTTCGGAGGTGCTCACAAGGGTAGGATGTGCGTGCGGACGTTCATAGGGGTGAGTGTGCGATCGTGTATGTGAGTGTCTGCGTCTATAACTGGGTCTTGCAAAAAAAAAAGATATATGCATGGATGAACCTACTTGAAAATTATGGAGTACTACTCTAGAAGAGCACTTAACTAAATTGGATAAAACCAAAGCATGTTTAGCAGGAAATCAGGCTTGAGCTGAATGGCTCACTTGCCTTGAATCGATCAGTTCAGCCCCATATCAAGTTGATTTGGTTCTAATTTTGCATCACTGCTTCTGTAGACTATAAATATGAAGAACCCCCTCCCCCCGACAGAAAACGAAGACAACAACTTGATGAGAATAGACGCCACATGTTTCTGGTTGCGTTATTCAAAGCGTATAACAAATTTTTGTACTCTATTTGTGCATGAGCTGCTAGTCATCCACGTCGTCAAAAGCCTTGATGGCAATGTATTTGAGTTGCTATTTCTTTACACTAATGTAAGGGGGCATAATGTTATGTATTGTAGTGATTATATCTTATATGTTCGCCCTCGTCCATGGTAACTAAATACTGGCAGATGCAATTACTTATTGATGCTCTATCCTCTACCCTTCAAATCTCTAGTGCAGATAGGAGGATCATGATAGAGTGTAGTCTATGTAGGTAGTCAATAGTTGGGGGATGAGAATAGGTGGTTTAAAAATCCCTTGATTTGGATGCATATAAGCTAAGACTAGAATATTAGACTTATCTTTATATGTGGGTGCATATTGTTTTATTCTCTATCTTTGTATGTTCTTCATTCACATCTTTATTGAGTTTACCTTCATTTATGCAATGATGCTTAACTCGTTATAGAGGAGCTTTTAGATCAATTCGGCGTAGATCTTGAGTTTAATTTGATATAAATCTTGGAAAAGGAAAACTACAATCACCATGCTCTTACGGTTAATTAATCACATGCATTGTGTGAGACGTGCTAGTTAAGTGAGTTGGATCATGCTGGCAATTGCGGTTATTTAATTGCTTGCATTGCAGCTATTTAAAGCTGATTTTCAAATATAAATGATTAATATTGTTTAGCTATGTTCTTTCCTGGCCAGTTTATGGAGGCAAAAATAGTTTAAAACTAAAAGTTGTAGATAGCATGGAATGCTACAATTTTCACACAAGGATCAACTTCAACTAAGGTCATATGAAAGAGATCCAATTTTTTTAAAAGCACCCATTGATAGGCTAAATTTTGTCCTTCACAAAGCATGATAGTTAGATATTTGGGCATGTCAAGGGCAGTGAGCCCAAGGGAAGGGGACCTTAGATCGGATATTGTCGTCAGTGGGCGGCCGGGTTATACCCCCTTCCATGCGTTCCTCGTTGGTGGGTTATCTTGTGGCTTAGGTAGTAGAAGAGAGGAGAGAGATTAGATGGTAATTCTTTCTTAATTGCCAAGTGCAGTTACAAGATATGTATAGCCTCGGCTCAACCAAAAGGAGTAACAAAGTCCACTAATTAAGGACTAACCAAAATAGCTAATAGATCTCCTACTTTCCCTCCTAGCCCTTCTTTGGAGGGCGCCCCACAGGTCTTTGGCAGCGCACTGTTAAGCAGCGCTCCTCGGGCCTCTCACGCACATCTCGGCCCTATGGCGCCTAGTGTAGACTTGTTTGAACATGACATCTCCTCCCGTCGAGAGCCGGCTCGTCCTCGAGCTGGAATTGGGGAAACTTGGAGGCGGAGTGTGGCGGCGTCTTCCAGTGTGGTCGTGAGTGAAGCTCCCTTCCATTGAACCCGGTGCTTGATGCACACCTTATTGCTAGCTCGGGATCAATGGCACCATCATTATGGAGGCTCGGTCGGTGGTGTCCTTGGTACTTCTTGAGCAGCCCCACATGGAACACGTTGTGGATCTGGCGCGAGGGGTAGTTCGGTCGGACTGACAACCTCGTTGATGAGTTCGACGACGCGGTATGGGCGAAGAAGTGCGGCTTCACTTGCCGCCTTCTTGAGTAGAGAGACGCGCCGTCTGTTGTGAGTCAGCGGCCTTGATCACCCACCGATAGGTGACCTCTCGGTGTCTTGTGCGTCGTAGAAGCGCTTCGGTATGCCTGTGCCTACTCCGGTGATAGCGGAAGAGGAGCTACGCTCCTCCATTGTCTTGGCGACGGGCGGCACCCTGGTGTCCCGGGTTCATAGGAGGCGGATGGAGGAGGATCACGCCCGTAGACAATGCGGAAGGAGTGTCAAAGGCGTAGATCTGTTGAAGAGGTACTCGCCCATGGCGACCACCATAAAGCCTTGTCCCCCACTAAGCACCGGAGGTACATGATGATAGCGGTTTTCGGACTTCCCGGGCATAGGGAAACGCCGAGGTCATCGTAACTTGGTGCCCATCAACCGCATCAGCTCCCGCCGAAGCGGCGGCGTGAACACGGTGTTCGGAGACCATTGAGGGACACCATGGGACGATGTCGTTGAAGAAGGCACAGGCGGAATGAAGATACGGGTGTGCCAATGGGATGAAATTGCGTCTTGAACCTATCCACCATGAGATTACCGACTTGGAATGACTCATGGCGGCGCCTCCACAAAGTCGAAAGCGCGACATCAGTCCACACCAAGGGAACACCAAGGAAAGGAGGAGGTTGGTCTTGGTGCTCAGACTTGTAGCGTTGATGAGACTTATATCTGCACAACTTGCTTCATGTTAGGAAAATGGAAATGGCGTGACTGTGGAGTGTCCGC